CCCCAAAACCCCAAAACCCCAAAACCCCGGATACCTCAATATGATACTTTTAAGCAGAGCATGAAGATATAAACTTACTTGTATTAATTATATTTTAATATTATCTAAATGGAATAAAGAGATCCGAACTAGGAATTATCGATAAACAGCCAATATAACGACACCAATTCCTCCTAAAGGAACACACTTGAAGAAAACAAAGATCATAATAATGAAAATTCAAACGGATTCACTCACACCCAGCAGTTTGACTACCCCTACAACCCAGAGTTTTCCTTCGCAGATCTCTCGCAACAATAGCTAATCTAGCAGTAATTTACAGGAAGAGATTTCACTTAATATACTGGCTCAAGTATCTCCCAGAGCACCTAAAATTTATAGAATTCTATCTTCCTCGCTCAACTAGCGAAAAGGGCTAACAATCAGCAAGTTGATAGACCAATCCCATCTGCAGTAAAAGGCAAAAGCTAATTCATTTGTGCTGGTAAGACATATTCAAATTCACCATATTCTACTGGATTGTTATGAAACATATTTAGCCACATTATAAAAACCATCAAATAGCTCATATTGATATCTTATAGGTAGTTTGTTCACAGTTGATGACAAATACGAGTTCATTAAGAGAGTGGGATATGGAGCCTATGGAGTGGTTTGCTCAGCTCTAGACAAAGAAACTGGTGAAAAAGTAGCCATCAAGAAAATCCCTAAGGCTTTTCAAGATTTAGTAGATGCCAAGAGGGTTTTGCGCGAAATTAAGATTCTTAGTAAGTTTTGCATTAGTCCCATTAATCCTATTACTAACTTAATCTAATTATAGAATTCTTTGACCACGAGAATATTGTTTCGCTATTAGATATATAGAGGCCGCCATCTCAGACTAATTACCAGGATGTGTATATTATAACAGAACTAATGGAGGCAGATTTGCATAAATTAATTTATTCAAAGCAAAAACTTACTGATGATCATTACTAGCTCTTTATGTACCAGCTACTAAGAGGAATGTACTTCATGCATTCAGCCAATATTATGCACAGAGATCTGAAGCCATCAAATATTTTGGTGAATATGAATTGCGATTTGAAGATATGCGATTTTGGGCTGGCAAGAGGCTTTGAATTTGATTAGGACAAGGAGAAATAAATCCCAAAGACTGCGTATGTTGTTACCAGATGGTATAGAGCGCCTGAAGTAATGCTGACGACTTAGAACTATACTAAATCCTTGGATGTATGGTCTATCGGATGCATTTTCGCAGAACTAATGATGAAATAGACTTTGTTTAAGGGTATGCATAACTTGAAATAGCTTGAGAAGATAGTAGAAATACTAGGCTATCCCACAGAAGAGGAGATAGAATTCATAGACAATGAGTACACTCTCAATTATCTGAGGAGACTGCCAAGGAGTAAAAGTATAAGATGGGAGGATAAGATTCCAAACGCCAATCCTTTAGCCATCGATTTATTAAAGAAAATGCTGAGGTTCTCACCAAATCAAAGGATTTAGGTTCTTGATGCAATATCGCATCCATATTTTCAGGATAGCTTTAAAGATTTTGGTGAGCCTCCAAAAAGTGACACTATTTTTGACTGGTCCTGGGATGACTTCCAGCTCAACAAGGAACTGCTGCAAACACTCATATACATGGAGAGTCTCTGCTATCACCCAGAGGAAGAGGGAGAGGGGAACATAAAAATTGAACCATCTAAAATTGAATCTTCAAGTTATGAGGAGTAGCCTACAGCACCAGCAAGTAAGGATAAAGATTTGGCTTTGTCAGAAGGCAATCAAACTAATTACGATCATGTGAATACAAGTATGAAAATAATAATAAATGGGGTAAACCACAGTAATCCTAGCTTAATTACTCACTAGAACACAGAAATTGATTAATTTTAATAAATGCAAATGTAATAGTAGTAACAAAGTCACACTCAACTTGAAATCTTGTAATAGACTAAATAGGATGAAATTAAGCCAGAGTCTAACCTTATCAAAAGATAACGTGAGGCTGATAAAAACCCAGAAGAAAACTATCAAGCATGCTAATAGTAAAATCCTGTAGATATTTTAAGTAACTAAATTTAAAAGTAATAATAAGACTAAGACGGTAGTCATAACAACAGCGACGACAATAAGGAAGTAAATTAGATAATGAACAAAAGAGCTAGATTCTCATGAATATAGACAAATAGTGAATATTATGATGTAATACATTAACTTCATTTAATGATAAAGTTTCAATATCAAATCTTAGAACTTTACTCAAAGAAGCGGGGTTTTGGGGTTTTGGGGTTTTGGGGTTTTGGGG